GGGTGCGCATCCAAAAGCTGCGGTGGTGCGGAAGCGCGCCCGCCACGAGGCGCGCAACACACGCCGACTCACCAGACATGTAGAGTGCGCACACACAGCACGTGTGTGAATGCAAGGGACAATTTGAAGGATGTAACTGCGCCGGAGGCCTCCGGAGAAGTGCCAAGACCTCGCATGCGATGTAAGAAACCGCAGCCTTTGACCAGAGGTGCGAGAGCTTCAGATAAGAAGCAGAGTGGTTATGCAAAGGAACGCGGAAATATTATTTATCCTTGAATATAATTAGCGCGTTTTCCCCGACAAAAACAAAGTGCAGTCTCTCTGCCTTCTCGTCTCCGCCTGGCCAAGAGGCGGCCTCTATAAACTGAGCATGTGACTTTTGAATCCCTCAAAACCATTGTAGCCGTAGGCCGCCAGAAATTGCAGCAGCAGTGACAACCATATGGATGGGTACGGTAGGAATGGAATCATGGAGCACTGAAGTGGCCGCCAACAGGTAGGGATGAAGACTTGAAGAGCAGCTAAAGCAAGGCTCAATGCGGCAGGCAAGGTGCGCCGTCAGTCAACACGACAACCCCTCGCCGGCGTTGTTGAAGGGGCGCAAGGACTCAGGTGCGTTGGAAAGTCAGCTGGCTGCATTCGTCTAGACTCTGGGTGCAAGCGCAAAGTCGGGACATACCGCCTTGCCACTGGTCCCGCCCACCAGTGGCACTGGTCCCGCCCACCTGTTTGCACATGATTATCCTCCCAAGGTTGCTGCGGCTGCTGCTGCGGCGCCACAGTGTTGATGCAAAAGCCTCGGGCCCCAGCACGTCAGGGCGATGCGCGTGCGTTGTCAAGAGTGATCTGGAGGGGGGGCGGAATGCAGGCGGTGGGGCCTAATTCAACAGCAGGAAGCTCCCAGGCTGATGAAATTGCATTGATTGCCGCTTAACGGCCGCCGGCAGCGGTGGAATGTCGCCTGGAGGCAGTTGGGGGTGGGCAATCGCGGACAACGGATAGGAGGTTGTGTTTGCTGCAAGGGTGACGACCTGACATGCCAGGTTTCCGGTGCGCATAATCTGAAGGGCAGGAATTATTGGTGGGCTTGGCCGTCTTAACAATGAGCCTAGAAAGCACACCTCCAGGACCCCCCCGCTCACCACTCTGCCATCCCTGGACTTGAGACGCCCCGAGTGCCACCTCATGTGAGTCGACGCGCATGCGTGACAAGTCATCCTCGCGTGTTGCGCAAGCTGAATCAGAGAGCGGGTTGGGTCCCTGATCACCAGCGACAATCACACGACACGCGCGGCCTGGGAAATGCTGTTGGCAGTCGTGCGAGTCGGCAGCGTTGCCACCTGCGCGCGCATACTTCACCGCAGCTTCACAACCTCTGTTCAGACAAATTTCTGTTCAAGAATGGCGCGAACGCATGCAGATACCGTATTGTGATCCCCTGTAAACGTGGTGACAAGCACCCCTCATTGCAGCTGATCTCATCGCGACAGCATTTCTTTTTCAACAACAATGAGCCAATAAGGGCAATATATTAGCTAGGATGGCGAGCAAGGTGAGGCTTGATGCCATGGCCGCAACTCCCGCCATCTTGATCAGCAGTCCACACGAGCAAACCATTGATGCATAAACATGTCATCTTGCAGGAGGATCCCGAGGATATGGCGGACTACCTGCAGCGCATGGGGCAGGTGCTGGCAGCGATGGAGGCGCAGCATCAGCAGGTGCGGGGGCCGTGAGGCAGTGTGTGTGCATCAACAATGCCGGGGGCGCCTCACCTATGCATGGGCAAACATGCTCGTCATCTGCATGCATGCTTTCCAACTGCTCATGTGCATGCTCTCTCTGTTATTTGGCCACACCATACCTGGCAGACAATGGCCCCGCGGCGCGAGAGCCTGGCGCGGGCTACCGCGCTGTACTACGAGCGGAAGACCCGCCGCGCCTCCGATGACGCCAGCAGCAACGCGGAGGACAGCGGCAGCAGCAGCCCTGCGCCCCTGGCAAGCGCCGTCGCCATCTCCGGGGCCAGCCCGCGCGGCCGCCGCACGGTGCTTAGCGCGCCAAGCACGCGGCGGCAGAGCCTGCAGGCACCGGTGCTCGCGGCCAAGCCAGGGGCCCCGCAAGCTGCGCTGCAGGGCGCGCCTGCCCCCAGCAGCCCCCTGACGCAGCCGAAGCAACCTGCAGGCGGCCCTTTGGCGGAGGAAGGCTCGCAGGGGAGCTCGCCTGGCGTGTCGCCGGTTGGCACGGGGGCGAGCAGCCCGGACAGCAAGGTGCGGCAGCTGGCGGCCCGCACTGCGCGCCGTGCGCTGACCTGGCTTGGCGGCGGCGGCGGTGGCGGTGGTGGTGACGCGAGTGCGGTGCGTCTGGCTGCTGAACAGCAAACGCCTGACGACGTTAAAATTGAGCAGCAGCAGCAGCAGCAGCAGCAGCAGCCGACAGCGTCGCCTGCCAAGCAACAGCTGCCATCGCCGAAGCGCGGCTCGCCAGGTGCCCTCGGTGCCGCCGCCGGAATGCTGAGGCGCGGCCAGAGCTTT